TAAAAATATAGAATGACTATCACTCCCATGGAGCTGTGTTCTCTGGTTGGAAGCCTCGAAGGCAAGGCAGTGATCCCAAAATGTCTGGTGGAACCTCAGCAAGGGAATCTTTTAAAGCTCTCCTGGTGATTCTAATGTACAGCCAGGGTCAAAAAACACAGTAACTTAAACCCTTTGTTTTAAAGATTAAAAAAACAAATTCAGGGAAGTTATCAGATTTATCCAAGGTCACATATCACAGACCACTCCTTAACTTTTTTTTCTTTTGTCAAAATGACTTATTTCAAAATTTCACTTTAAATTTCACTGTATAAGGTCTATAGATACTTTTCAAATTTGATTTAATATTATTTTGAAATGGCAACTGAACTGGGGACACGACAGAAAAACCTTGTTGCTGCTTGTCATTCTCGCTTATTCAGAATGACACTCCAGTCAGCTACTTTAAGTTGTCCTTTTGAAATCTATTTACTCAAAATTTCTCTGTGAAACCTACCTTGGGGAAGGCAGAACCCAGACATAATTTAGTGAGTAGGAACAGTAACGTTCCTTATTTCAAATGTGTTATGCGGGGCAAAATAAGATTCTATATGTAGCTTTTAAGATAAAATTTTGTTAAAACCTTTGCAGCTCCATTTTACTAAAGTACAGGTTTATTCCTGGTCTTTGTAAACTACAGACAGACTGTTCATTTGAATTTCCCTCTGTCTCCCCATCATGCCTCAGAGCCTTCGAAGATTAGGCTCTCAGTGTCTCAGCCACAGAGTGGGTACTTCGCTGTGTTGACAGCTTACACCATGTACTGTACCAGACCATACGATGTGCGGTTTGACTCTTCACTGTAATAACAATAAGGACAGTTTTCTACCTGCCTCAGACACAACACAGCTGAATAGCAGCTAAGGGGCTGGATCTACAACTGAGGAATCCCAGGAGCGAGCTTCAGAACAGCTTCCTGACAATAAAGTTACCACTCTGAAGCTATAATCAAAGGTCCTAGCCAGAGCACTTTAAGTCAATAAACTAAATCATACCAAGGTAAAGCAGATAGGCAAGATATCAAAATATAAATGGCTTCATGAACTCTGGCTTAGGTGTTCAATTTATAAAACCCTTGTGATTTTTTTTCTCCTTTGGAATAATTAAGGTTTTAAGGATATAAATCTAACTATGCATACAAAACTGAGAAAATGTTCAGGCTAAATATACACAGTGATAGTTTATATGATTAATATAATGAGAGGAAGTTATCATAGCTTATTTCTGTGTATGTGGGTATATATGTATTTTGCTGCCCTCTACTGGGGATAAAAAGAATGATATGCAGCTCCATCTCAATTGAAAATCTCTTCATGATGGAAATGAAACAATTACCCGGTAAAGTTCTAAGAACCAAGGATAAAATACAGTTGATATAAATATAGCTAATAGAATAAAATACAGATAAAATAACTAAAGACTATAAACCCCAGGGGTTTGCTGATTTTTTTCCCACCTAAATTGTTCCCACATTACGTTTTAGACCAGGATGAATCAAAATCTGGTCAAGAGAGCCTTTACTGAGAATTGTTGTTATCCTTAAGACTCAGTGTTTCATTCTTAATGGCATTGAATCAAATTAACTTTATCAGTGTTAGTTGCACAGATATAAAATGTTTTGAATAAGTTTTTTAAATATTTCATCTCAAAATTTGCTAATCTCACATTTTCTGTGTGGCTCTGGTAGATGATCAGAATTTATTCTATGGATTAATATTTTTGTTTTATCTCATTGAATCCTCACAATCCTAATCCTTACTATTAGGTAAGTATTATTAATATTCCTTATTTAATATATGAAGAGACTGAGGCACAAAAAGATAAATACATTTTCTGAAGGCTCCTACTGGAAAAAAACAGTGGGAATTTGAACACAGGCAACCCCACTATGGAAGCCATGCCCTTTTAACTACGCTAAAAGGCCTTGCATGTAAGATGCTGGTACACCATTATGGTGAAAATGTATTTGCAGGCCAAAGCCATTCACCTTTTCATTCTTAAACATCAGTGTTTTATGAGTTAGTCTCGAATTTGTACAAGGCAAAAATAGGTTAGGACATATATACCATGATAAATTACAGAAATATTTCATCTTGAGTTACCAATTTTAAAAGCAGATACTGAAAGTAAATACGATTTATATTCCCTAGTGATTCCTCTGTGCATTAGTGACTAATCGAATCTTGGAGACAGAGTTTTGGGTGAAGTAGAAAAAAATAGCTTTATTGCTTCGCCAGGTAAAGGGGGACACAACAGGCTCATGCTCTGAAAAACTATGTGTCCCAACCTGGGAGGATTTGGTGAGGAGTTTTATAGCAATGATTCAAAGGTGGGGTTGCTGATAAGATTAGGGTGTGTGCAGGCCCTGTACGCCTTTAAACTGGCCAGGTGATCTCCTAATCTTGATAAGCTTCTCTGGTTCCTTTCATCTGGCCTCAGGTGGTTTCTTGGCTGCTCTTCCCTTGTCTCTGTATCCCCCTCCCTTCCCTGATTAGCAACTGCTCAAATCTGCCCTTTGAGACACAGGGAAGGTTGTGGAGGCTGGAAGCTGTTCCCTACAAACAAGAAATAAGGAACACGGAAAGGCTTCCGTGCCCAGAAGCCCCACAGGGTCCCACTCGGTTACACTAGTTTTTGTTCTCAGTTCTCCAGGCCTTTTCTAATCCCCTAGACTTTGCTCATTTTTATTCACTTGACATGACTTGGTGGGCTGCTAATGTCTCCTGGCCTTTCAAATCTCAGTTTATAACTATTGCTTTATGGAAGCTTTCCCCACACTCATCTGTTTTATGACTTGGGCTCCCACACAAAACACCACTCATGGGGTGGCCTACACAATAGAAATGGATTTGCTTTTAGTTCTAGAGGCCAGAAGTGCAAGATCAGGGTGGGTGATCTTCCTGGCTCTTTTTTTTTAATGCAATTTTTAAAAATTGAAGTATAGTTGATTTGCAATGTTGTGTTAGTTTCAGGTGTACAGCAAAGTGATTCAGCTATACGTATGAATATATTCTTTTTCAGATTCTTTTCCATTATAGGTTATTACAGGATATTGAATATAGTTCCCTGTACGATACAGGACGGCCTTGTTTGTTATTATTTTATATACAGTCGTATGTGTATATGTTACTCCCAAACTCCTAATTTATCCCTCCCCCAACCTTTCCACTTTGGTAACTATAAGTTTGTTTTCTATGTCTGTGAATCTATTTTTTTTTTTTTTTTTTTGCTGTACCTGGGCCTCTCACTGTTGTGGCCTCCCCCGTTGCGGAGCACAGGCTCCGGACTCACAGGCCCAGCCGCTCCGCGGCATGTGGGATCCTCCCGGACCAGGGCACGAACCTGCATCCACCGCTTTGGCAGGCGGACTCCCAACCACTGCGCCACCAGGGAAGCCCTCTATTTCTCTTTTGAAATAAGTTCATTTGTATCATTTTTGTCTTTCTGTGTCTGGCTTACTTTACTTAGTATGATAATTCCTGGCTCTTAAATCATCGCCTTATCACTGTGTGCTCACGTGGTCTTTTGTCATATGTGTGCATGTGGAGAAAGAGGGATTTCCCTCTTCCTCCTTTTATAAAGCCACCAATCATATAGGATTAGTACGCCATCCTTACGACCTATTTAACCTTAATCACAGTCTAAAAGCCCTACCTCCAAACAGGATCCCATGAGGGTTAAGGCTTCAATATATGAATTTGGGAGGAACACAATTTAGTCCATAGCATCACCCTATACATTTCTATAGCACTTCCTCCTTTCTTAGAATGTATAGCAATCACATGTTTTCCTACCTGTGCCTCATTAGACATGAGTGTCCTCAGACCAGACCACATGACTATGTCACCATCGTATCCCTGGCCCAGTCCCAGGCATTACATGGCCATGTGAAACAGAGCAGGACCCTGTGGGGCTCCTGGGCATGGAAGTCTTTCTGTCCCCCATCTCTTATTTGTAGGGAATAGACTCCAGCCTCCATGACCTTCCCTGCGTTCCAAAGGACAGGTTCAAACAGTTGCTAATCAGGGAAGGGAGGGGGATGCAGAGACAAGGGAGGAGCAGTCAAGAAACAATAGTGCAGCCTTGGGGCAGGGTCACCTTAAGAGATACACATAATAATGTCTTTGAGCTCTTTACAGAACTAAAACTCCCAATAAATGGGATATGTCAGCATTCTTCATTCCAGAGAAGACCCCCTAAGGCCAGATTAAAGGAACCAGAGAAGCTCATCAAGAGTCCAGATTAAAGGAGTGTAGGCCCTGCACACACCCTAATCTTATCAGCAACCCCACCTTTGAATCATTGCCATAAAACTCCTCACTAAATCCTCCCAAGTTGGTACACATAGTTTTTCAGGGCATGAGCCTGTTGTGTCCGCCTTTCCCTGGCAAAGCAATAAAGCTATTTTTTTCTACTTCATCCAAAACTCTGTCTCTGAGCTTCGATTTGGCACCAGTGCATAGAGACCAAGTTTTCAGCATCACATGTGCTCAAAGGTGGTCGAATGAACAAGGGGCAGAAGGAAGTTCCTATTCTGCCCCTTCACCAGGTCTACCAGGAAATGCTGTAATTACCAGGAGTAAGTTGGTCAGGTCTAACAAATATCTGGGGCTTTGCTGGAGACAGAACATCAAAACAAGCCTTAAGCTAATTCAGCTGCTTAATGTATGGGCTTCAGTCGCCTCCAAGGTTCTCATCAAAGTCACAGAAGGACACGTCATCAGTTAAGCTAAACTCTGATGACCAGCCATTCCTGGGCCAGGGAGCAGATGCTGTACCCATCCAGGTGAGGAGCACCCAACCCAATTTCTAAGTTCTTATTTCATATGAATCAGTGATTTAAAAATAAGGTAAATAATTTAATAAATTATACCCATTGAATAAATGACCATGTCAAATGGATAATATACTCAAGAATCAGTTAAAATTAAGTATAAAAAAAGACACTGCATTCAGGCCTGTACAAAACTTTATTGTACTTTGAATAATAAGCAAAGTAAAAAAATTTAGAGCATGATAAAGATGGAATATCTCAAATTATGTTCCTTACAAAAGCATTAAATACAGTACACAAAGACTGTTTATAATATTTTAAAGTCTGCTAAAAATATCAAGACATCCTAGGATTTGTGGAGTTACCTTTCCTGTCAACTAGAGCATTGATTCCCACTAGCTTTGCTATAATAAAAGTTAACATATATGAATGTACACATGTAATAACTGAAATGGAAAATGAAGGCATGCAACAAACATTCCAATTACTAAGCAAGTATGAAGAAGAAAGTCTTTTTGGTATTTCTGAACTTACAATTCCTTTGAACATATCGACCAGGTCCAGTGAAACTTTTTTTCCAGAATGTTCAGAGGTGATATTCAAAACACTGAACAACCCCAACAGTCCATCACCACTGTCTGGTAAGCACAGACACTGGAGTAAGGGCTGATATGGCAATACGGTCTGTTCCCAAACCGAATATCAGCCCTGATCTCATCTCCCATGTCCAGATGCACGTTTGGACTAATGTAGAAGTGTGAGCTATGAGCTATGAAACATGAAATTCACACAGACAGGAAGTTGAACTCAAATACTCTGCCGCATGGAGGCTGAATGTGAAATTTTTCACAGTGACTGAAACTGACTGGCTGACAGGCAATGGTGTTTTTTTATATTTGACTTTGACTAAAATGAATGGACTTACAAGAAACCCTTGAGATTTAGTTAATGCTACTAATCTAAAGGCTCTGAAGAACTGAGGAGCCTTTAAAATCGGTATATGTGACCTTTTCTATATTTTTCCTTAAGGAAAGAAACAATAATAAAAACACCGAGGTACATGAGTTTCTTTTCAAGGGATTACTGTTGTTATCTTCCTGAGATGCAAAGACCACAAAAGAAGAGCACCATGCCTAGGCTGCTGAATGAGGCATCAGACACTAATAGTTTGGTCCTTTTCTAAAGGGATCTCTTCTGACAATGACACTAAAACACAGTGATGGATCACAGATGCCCGGGGGTCCTGGCTGCCCTTGGATTCCAGGTTTTCCGTGGTCTCCGTCTTTGCCGGGGAGACCTGGGTCTCCTGGAGGACCTTCTTTGCTTATTCCAGGGGGGCCCTCTGGACCTAGGATGGGACATTAGCAATACATGAACAGATGAGTTTGGTTTTGTTGCTGACACAGCTGAATCTGCAAAACATGTAAACTGGTAAAAAGACTCCCTTGAAACTTTTACGTATTTGCACTAAGGTGAAAAGAGGAGGTATCCTCTTGCTAATTCTATACACCTTCCATTTTGAAAAGAACTATCCAAAAGTAATTTTTGTACAACTAGGCCGAGCTATGTTAATATGCAATCATGCTGCTGGTGAAGACACAGAGCTAACATTCTAATATTTCAATTTGTGGATTGTCCAAACTATTTCTTCCTCTCAGCTTATCTTTTGCCAATATTATTATAAATTAGTAGGTAATATATCAGTAAGCTAAAACTCTAATAAAGCCACTTTTGTGCCATATTTGTAGTCAAAATGACTATTTCCATTATATATATATATCTATATATATATCTATATATTTTAGTTTCCACAATGAAATACATTGTCATTACCATAGTATACTAGTAATCAATACACAGAGGTATTATAACACTAATTTGTGAACCATAACTTAGTTCAATTAGCATGTTCAAAAGAAGAAAAATTAACTCAAGATATTGGCCTTTTAAAGTTGATGACCCAAAATAACAAAAACAAAATATTTAGGTTTAGGGATGGAGCAGAGTGGACTGGGCACTTTCTACCACTAATACTTCCTGCTACTACTACTAATAAACATTTATTCAGCACTAAACTACAATTGTAGGTATTGTTCAAAATGCTTTACATACAAAGTATTAAATCATTTGATCCACCCAAAAGCCTTGAGCAGTAATAACATCTAAAATAATAATGATAGTACACATTTATTGAAAACATAACTTTTTCATGCACCGTTCTGATAGCATGACATGTATTAATTCATTTAATCTTCCACCAATGTCATGATGCAAAAGACATCTCATCACTATTTTACAAATGAGGAAACTGACACACGGAGAAGTTAAATAATGCAGCTAGCAGAGGCTGGCTTACAGGTCCATCTCAGCATTATTCTGCTTCCCTGAGAATCATAAAGATTAAAGGTGATATACACTAGGTAAGCCTGGGCGACGTGGAACCATCTGAGAACTATTCTAAGGAGTGGTATTCTAAGGAGTCTAAATGATAAGTGAGAGAGAATCCTGAATGATTAATGGATATAATATAGGATAAAACTTCTAGCAGTTACAGCTCAATGTGTTGAATGTGAATCACTCAAAAAAGGAAACGAAAGTCTTGGTTTCAAATCTTTGGACAGAGATTTATGATGATTTTCTTAACGTAAAATGTGCAGCAACACTTATGAGCATCATCAGTTCATACCTGGGGGACCAGGAGGACCTTGTACTCCAGGGTACCCAAGCCCTTGGCTCCCCTTTGCCCCATTTCGTCCTGGTAAGCCTGCAGAGTGTCAGAGAGGGGAGTAAGCTTACTTTTCCCATAAAATCATTTCCTCCTAGATTATTTCTTTCAAAGCTGTTAATACACACATTAAAAGAAAAATAAATCTTTAAAAATTAGCCAGCCACCTATTTATTATTATTAACAGGACACAGAATTTTTGAAGCGAAACTTTATAAAATGATCAGTGGTCTAGAAAAACTTAATGAAGATTAAATATTAAGAAAGGAAAATGGTTTGGAATTATTAGCTCTTTTTGTTACTCATAGTTGTTCTTTTATTACTTTGATGAAACATCTAAATTGTTCCTATAATATTAAATTAAAAGGAAAGAATTATCAACCAACATTTCACATAAATATTCAAAAACAAAGAGCAGTAAGTTGTGGGCTATTAGGAAGTTTGGTCGCAAAACATCATTTTTCTTATAGAAATTTATAGAAAACAATTTTGAATATGGTTACAGAAGTTACCAAAGTCAAAATAAAGGAAATGGTGTCTGTGATGTTCTATTTAAAGACCTAATTAGACTCAAGCAAAATTTCTAAGTACATTGTCAACATTTTCTGATTTACAGGTTCACATGCTTCATAACGTTGACCTCTCTCTTGACTTTAGGATATTCTTTCATGAAATAGAATGACTGTTCTTTAACTCAGTTGACAAATTATTTAAAGACTTAGGGACAGAAAAATTTTTTGTCTTCAAGAAAACAAACAGGAACTCTTGCCTGTTAAATAAGTTTAGGATGTGAATACAAAAAATACCCTTTTCTGTTATTTATTTGCTTACACATACAAACTAAGTACCTTTTAATCCTTTGGCACCTGGGCGTCCTGGAGCTCCCATTAATCCAGGAACACCATCTCTTCCTGGCAAACCAGGGAATCCTTGGGGACCTTCTGGGCCCATGGGACCAGGTGGCCCAGGAATACCAGGAGAGCCATGCTGGGACTGGCAGTGATCACAACTCTGAATTCTTCCACTTTGAAGTAAGACAGGTAGCTGGGCTTAAAAGCAAAGAAACCCCATCCCTTATGTTTAAATGGTGAATGGGCATTAATAATATCACTCATATTTTTTCTAAATTTACAGATACATATCTCTTGGCCAATAATTTCACTTCTAGAAATTTAACTATGGAAATATCCATTGCTCTGTGCAATAATTTTATTGTGGCAATTGCTTCAAGTAAGGGAAAAAAGGAAGTGCCCCTCTAAAAGAAACTGGTAAATTAAATTATAGACATCATATTTTGAACAAAATTACCAGAATTATGTCAGGGAAGAAAATTTAATCAATGGTGAAATAATGATAAATTGCTTTATTAAAAAGGTTACAAAGGGTACATATAATATTTTACCTTTATAAAAATACTTATCTGGAAAATAAAAATGAGAGGTTGATAAATGTCCTTTATTTTCTTCATCTTACTTATATCTTTTATAATTTCTACAAAGAATTTGTATTACTTTTGAAATCTGAAAGTTATTAAAATCTCTATGTTGGAGACTTACCTCTTAATACATCAGTGCAAACTTGTCGAATAAACTGTTCTGAAAATTCTCTCCCCTGCATCAAATTATTAAGGGTTATGACATTGACATACCAAGTAAAAAGCAACAGAAATATGAAAACTGTGAAAGAAGCAGAATACATACGGGCTTCCCATCTAGTCCTGGGGGTCCCTGAGGACCTGCTTCCCCGGGTTGCCCCTGGGGACCCGTAGGCCCCATCAGACCATTCACTCCAGATTCTCCTTTGGGTCCAGTGGCACCTCTGGCACCAGGCTCTCCCTTTTCACCTCTCTAAAAACAAAAGAAATCTTCAAAAGTTCTATTTAAATATTTCAGGAGGTATAAATGCATCATAAAAGTCTTAAGGATATGGATATGAAAATATATAAACATATAACTAAGTTATATAGGAAATTGTTGGGAAACACCGTAATTGATCAGGAAGGAAATTTCATATTATATTAAACTGTCATTTATCCATCCATCCAACCCTACAAATAACCACTACCTAGTACATATATTGATTAAGCAATATGCATAGTGCCAGAGATACAATGATGAACGTGACACAGTCTTGTCCCCAAGGAGTTTAAATCCTAGAGAGATAGATGTAGAAATACACAATATTCTTCATTGAGAAACATGCAGAAAAAAATTAGCTCCTAATTTAGAAGAAGAATCAATATTACTGGCAAATATGTAACATTTCATACCTAATTCAGTGAATCTACATATTCTGAAAATCTCTATTTAGGAACTACTAAAGAACATGAAAGATATTTTCTGTTTGTGATGTCAATAGCTGGATTTATACAGTATTAAAAATCAAGCCATGAGGACTGAACAGACAGCATAATACATGAAGAAACATACCTCTCCTTTTGTACCATGATGGCCTTGAATTCCCTTTGAAAATTAATAGGGAAAAAATAAATAAATAAGTAAATGTGCAAGCTACAGTACTAGCAATGTGGCATGCACCCTTTACCACACATTTAATCAAACTTTAATTTTCAGTTTGGATCTATGTTCATCGGTGATATTGGCATGTAGTTTTCTTTCTTTGTAACATCTTTATCTGGTTTTGGTATCAGGGTGATGGTGGCCTCGTAGAGTGAGTTTGGGAGTGTTCCTCCCTCTGCTATATTTGTAGTGAGATGGATGGACCTAGAGTCTGTCATACAGAGTGAAGTAAGTCAGAAAGAGAAAAACAAATACCGTATGTTAACACATATATACGGAATCTAAGAAAAAGGAAATGCTCATGAAGAACCTAGGGGCAAGACAGGAATAAAGACACAGACCTACTAGGGAATGGACTTGAGGATATGGGGAGGGGGAAGGGTAAGCTGGGACAAAGTGAGAGAGTGGCATGGACATATATACATTACCAAACGTAAAATAGATAGCTAGTGGGAAGCAGCCACATAGCACAGGGAGATCAGCTCGGTGCTTTGTGACCACCTAGAGGGGTGGGATAGGGAGGGTGGGAGGGGGAAACAAGAGGGAGGAGATATGGGGATATATGTGTATGTATAGCTGATTCACTTTGCTATAAAGCAGAAACTAACACACCATTGTAAAGCAATTATACTCCAATAAAGATGTATAAAAAAAATCGATCAGCAAGTAAAACACTCTCTGTAAGGCCATTCTTTAAATATGGAAGTTTCTGAAGAAATGCAAGGGTTTCTACCAGACAGAATATTACAAATGGAGCCAGAGTAAGAGGAAAGATAAAATAGTAAGCTCTCTGGACTAGAACCAAATGAGAGCTAAAACTGAAAACAGCTGTCATCTGAGAATCCACTAGGATGATTTCATGAGGGAAACATTCTCTTGGACCCCATTCACAATGTGAACGCCAGAAAAATCACACACGTGCAGCCCTTGGTAGGATGACAGTTAACTAGGACTTTGTTTACTTTGAGAGATTGGGACAACTATTCAGCTGTTGAGAGGCAATGGCTGTTCTGCTCCCCCGCCCCTACCCCGCCCCCTGCCATTCTCCCTGTAGACTCAGTTCCTGGTGGTGGAAAACGCAGCTTCCAACACACCCAGGACAGAAGCTTTCTAGGGAACCAAAATCCTGCCTTGGGGGAGCAGACTTCCTCTTTTCCTTGAGAAGTGAGATAAAAGAAAACAAGTTAGGGGAAACTTGCAGAGAGTGTCATCTGTCAATCAGTGAGCTAACCAAGTTGTGCACTCAAAATCCAAAGAAAATATCCTTCTATCAGAGAGTTACTGTGAATAACAATTTGGGGTAAAAGGCCTGGGTTGCGGAGGGTGATGGATGAAGGGGTGAGGGTCCTCCTATGAGGAGAGCTGTTTAAAGATGCTGTGTGATTAACTCAGGGAAACAGAGCAGGTCAGAGGGGAATAGGGACAGAGCCGATTGTCACCCAGTGGTGTGAGTGGAGTGAAGGGACAGGAAAAGGAAGACCTTTTGTATTGCACATAACTGTACGTAGGCAAACTCTGTCCATTTCTCCTTTCAGTGATTCTTGCTCTGAAGTTCACTTCTAAGTTCTCAACTTTTTGACATGTAACACTCACCCTCCATCTTACACAACCTTGGGGCCATGTGCTTTCAAAGACTGCCCCCCACACCAATGGTCTCCCCCATTCCTCCAAGTGAGGGACCCAGAGACCCCTGTCCTTGGAGACATCACCTCACAGTTTTATCCCCCTACCTCCAGAGTCAGTGTAATCACTGAATCTTTCTCCCACCCACACTCCCTAATCAGTTGGATGCTTTTCTTTTTTTTTTTCTTTTTTTTGTGGTACGCGGGCCTCCCACTGCTGTGGCCTCTCCCGTTGCGGAGCACAGGCTCCGGACGCGCAGGCTCAGCAGCCATGGCTCACAGGCCCAGCCGCTCCACGGCATGTGAGATCTTCCCGGACCGGGGCACGAACCCGTGTCCCCTGCATTGGCAGGCAGACTCTCAACCACTGCGCCACCAGGGAAGCCCAGCTGGATGCTTTTATTTGTCCAATATGGCTCTGACTGAACCTACATGCCACTTGGCAATCTCACCAAAACATGGCTTCATGAGGAGAGTTTAGTCAAGGAAGAAGCAAGGCAATCTTATTATGTATCTACTGCACAACACAGTTCCTCAAGATGGCATTTTAATTCATCTCTAGTGTAGTAAATTATATCTTTGAACAAACTAGAGGGAAACAAGGACATTCCTTCACTGTGTATGGCCTCAACTACTCACATTTCAAGGAGAAAATCAAAACTCAACAGTGGGTACAGAGATGCTGCCATGTATGGCTGCCTTGGGCCAGTACTACTCCAAGAAATGGGTGGAACTGTCTACCTTTAGTCATTTATTTGGTCAGAAGAAAGCACTGAAAATCAAGTTTCACAGCCACTGAGAGTATCAGCATGGGAAAATGAAAATATAAATCAAAAGATTAAAGTTGTGATCACCATCACCACTAGAATTCTCATCCTTGGGCACTTAGAATGCAGGCTACATCTCCCCTTCTCCCCACCCATTTTTATTTGCAAGTAACCCTCTCTCAGTATTGTTCATTATGTGATTCATTATTTCATTTTCCATAAAAAAAAATACCTGTGGCCCTGGAATCCCTGGTCTTCCATTCTCTCCCTTTTGACCCTTTAAAATTGAATAAATGTTATTCATTAGTTTGCACACATATGATGCAATCACATATACAACACAAACTATGTACTGTGCTGTCATCTAGAAGAAAGGTCACAAGAGCAGTGATGCAAATATGTAAAATGATGTAAGAGAAGAAAAAAGAAGTGAGAGGAACGTCAACCGAATCTTACAGCTAAAATGGATAAAGACAAGGAACGAACTACTGACTTTGGGGAACATGTAAATAATGTTAGACAGTTGAGGATGTTCTGCTGAGTCCATGTTCACAGCATGAAAATAATTTAAAAATCCAGTGGCTGTGGTCATTTTCTTAATTTCAATGACATTATTCATGTTCGGTGTTGATTATACACATGAGGGCAAGAAGATCACTTGAAGGACATTTTTAAATTAAAAATATACTGTAAAATACATTTTGAATGAAAATCTTTAAGTTAGGACAAATAGAGAAAAAATTAATAAAGATATAAACACATTTGTCCATTCAATTAATATTTTGGGACATCCTCCTTGTATAAGACATTGGGCCAGACCCTGAAACTCTAGTATTTCATCCCTATGTTGAACAGGATAATTAGCAGTTTCTAGCAAAACATACACCTAGATATACAATCAATTAAAGATCTAGTGACTGAAATTGTAAATCACTCCTGCATAGAGGTTTTTTCATTTACTTACTTACATCAATGAATTCCCAGGGGCCCTATTTGCTGTAGGGACACTGTTGCAGTGTCCCCATGTTGCCTTCAAGTTGCTTACTATGTGGTGCAAAAGCTAAGCAATTAATCTCTTTAATAAGCAGTTAAATTCTAAATTTCAAAGTGCTAAGATACTAAACCTTAACTGTTCTCAACACATGAACAAACTAACGTGACATGATAAAGGTGTTAGCTAACCTTACAGTAGTAATCATATTGCAATATATAAATTGCACCTTGTACACCCTAAACTTACACAATGGTATATGTTCATTATATCACCTTAAACTCGTACACCTTAAACTTATACATTATTATATATTAACATTGTGCCATGTATACCTTAAACTTATACAATGTTATATGTTAATTATATCAATAAAAATATATACAGCTAAATTCTATTGGAATTCTATTTAAAAAAGAATAATGAAAATACTGTCGATAAGGATGCAGTGTATAATTATATATCTGGAACGGATACTATTGGGACATACAGTGGGGCATCTGATAAAGAGGGTAGGAAAAATGACTCCACCTTGAGTGCAGCCCTCAGGGATGTGTAAGTGGTACCCAACTGGAGAAGACGGGGGTGTGGCAGGGAGAGAAGACACAGGACAGAGGTGTATAATTTCTTCCAGCTAAAGCAGCAGGGCAGGAGCAGATAATAGTGGGTAGACTGGCAAAGAGATAAGACTAAAGAAGATTCAGTCCAACAAGGAGGCACTTTATGGGCTGGACTTTATCTTGAAATGTGTGTGGAGCATCACTGAAGGACTCCTAAGCAGTTGTGTAACTTAGTTACTGATGCTGGTAAAAGTGTGGGGGGAAGGTGTGGACTGAACTCAAGGAGACCAGTTAGGATATTACAGTCACCCAGGACCCATGACAAGAAATGAATGGTCAGGACAGTGGGATGGGGGGGAAGGGGCTTAGTTCAAGTTTCATTGTCTGAAACAGTGTTCAGACTGTGACCTTAGCAGATTTTGATGCTATTATTACCTAAATTTGAAATTTCCTTTTATGCCACCAGATATTCTGGAGCTTTCAAAGTTCTGTGAATTTTGCAAAGTGTTTTACGTAGCAAGACTCAGCCACTATAGCTGAACTTTTTTTTTTTTTGGCCACACCGCACAGCATGTGGGGATCTTAGTTCCCGACCAGGGATAAAACCTGTGCTCCCTGCATTGGGAGCACAGATTCTTAACCACTGGACCATCAGGGAAGCCCCTATAGCTGAGCTTTGTAATCTTAAAAACATCATTAAAGTACTGTCTGGACACTTGATTTGTAATTGATGATTGGAAAAGTCTTACATTTCTAGAGCTTAAAAGACTGAAAGACCAACAGATATAGTTTATTCCTGATCAGTGTGTCACTGATTCAGCTAGCGGCGTCCTACTCACGGGTCAGGGTTCAGTTAATGAAAAAACCATCTGAGGGCCACTCGGACTGAGGTGAAACTGTCCTCATCTCCCAAAGCTGTAGCATATTTCTCCTCTTTGCCTTTGTTGCTAAGCCACCCAAAAACCAAACGTCCTTCTAAATCTCCCTAGATTTCCTCAGACTGATCTAATTTTCTGGTATAATTCTCCTGTTTATTAGTTTGAATATGTTTTATATACGGTGTTAACAGTTTCTTATCAAATTTATTTATGCCATAAGCCATGTCAAATCATTTGTGGAAACCAACACACCATAAAATATGTAAATAAATATATATTACAAGCATGTGATAAAATCCGTATGTTATTTTGTTGAATCGCTTGGTTCCCAAGTTTCCTACAATAGTGGTGTAGTGACGAATGTTAAAGTTAGATTTGATGCGTTTTGAGAAATTTAGTAAAATGAGAAAGCTGGGATTTAACAGACATTGACGGTAAAACAGGAAGGAGCTGGAAAAGCCATGTAAGAATTAAAAAGAATGAAGCCCTGAGTTTTTTTGCCAAGCCAAAAAAATAAAATAAGCCAGTAGCATACCTGAATGCCCTTTTCGCCTTGATTTCCTTTGTCCCCCTGCAAAAGGCCGTTTAATATATATCATAATGTCATATATTCTGTATCCTTTCAAATAAACATGCTTTTCTTCTGCCAAGAAAAATATATGGTCTCATGCAAATTCGACAAGTGCCTTATAAACAAAAGTTGACTCCAACATGATATTTGAGAAGAGAGTAAAAACACATTATGTCAAGATGATGTTCTAAATGAATACTTTCTTGTGCTCTTACGTTCAAAAGAAAATTAACTACAATTTCTATTTTATAAGGAAGAAGAAAACTTTTCTATATTGATCACAATCTGAAGTTAAACAAAGAGAGGACTATATTTTGACAAATCTCGTTTTATTAAATCAAACTGAAAAGTCTTCTACTATTAAGCTAATAATGGCCACAAATTTATAGGAAAAAATGAAATAAAACAACGTTGAAAAAGTATTTTAGAAAACATATGCTTCAAAAATTAACTTTTGGGGGGAAATTCATATTCCATAATACTGTTTCCTGGAATTTCTCAGCTAGAAGAGATGTTTGAAACCAACTAGTTCAGTGTCTTTGTTCTTATAATGTACCCACAGATCAGGAAAGGTAAGCGTTTGCCCAAGGTTGAGCTTGGACGCTCTTTCCAAATTTCCTTTCTACCATGCTATCCAAACATAAAGAGTAGAGTTTTGTGTTTACAGTGAATAAAATACAGATTTTCTTTTAACTGGTAGGTTTCTGTACAAGGAAATTCTCTAAATCCAAACATATTCACAGTAGTTTACTTAATCTTCACTGATGGTCTAACACTTAATTGCTGCTATGAGGGTCATTCCTGTGTCAGCAAGTACTGCCTGCCACTCATCAGAGCAAAAGGGATCACACTAGGTACAGTAATCTAGGGGCTGAGCAGATAATACATGAGGGATAGAAAAAATGAAATGGTAGAAAAACTGAAAGAGCAAGGAATACAAAGATGGAGACATAACAGTTTGTATCCTTTGCAGAACAAAAGCCAACACATCCACTTTTAACCTGAACTGTATATATCTGCAGGGGCATGGACTTCTCTGACAGGTGGGCAGTCAGTTCTTGCTCAAAGACTTCAAGCCAACAATAATATTTGTATAGATACAGCTCAGAGTTCCTTTACTTAACAGGAGAGAGAGAGAACCCAAAGTGATGCTGTTTTATCTCACCAAAACATTTTATATGAATATATATGTTTTGTGTTTTAAATTCCTTAAATTAATTTTAAGTGAACTATTATGTAATATAATTGTTTCACAGATAGGAATGCCATGGTCAAGCATTCTGGCTGTAATTTTTATTGTTTCAGACTTTTGCCCCAGTTTTGGTAAGAGTGATATTCACATTTTGGTAAGAGTGCCTCACATGGAATACTTTCCCTAAAAAGTTCTTGACACATCTGGATTGACCACAGAACAATCTGAATTTACAAGATATTATTTAATTGTACGTTTATATTTTTTGATCTGTCTCTTCGAAGATCCTCATCTAGGAGACAGTACCTATGCGGGGACATGAAAGGTGCCACAGCTCTTAGCATGAGGTCGAACACATTATATGTACACCAAATACATAGGTCAGCTCATCATTGAATGCGTAATTGGCCCTTCTACACTACATGCACAAAAAGAAAACTTACGTGGTAACAGCTGATTAACATTGAATTATATGTCCTAAATATCATACCTTTTTCCCTTGAATTCCAGGTAAACCCAGGTATCCTGGTTCTCCTGGCAGACCCACTGCTCCTGGTTCTCCCTAAGTAACACAGAATTCACATGAAGATCACAGGCTTACTGCTTGTGAAAAACCCCACTGTTTTTATCTCTATATACATCTCAAATTTAAAACTGATAGTTAAAAATTTTGTTAGAGTTATTACTATAGAAATAGTAAAGAATAGTAAAGTTCACTGAAGTCCCAATAAAACTTCTTATATTTTTTCCTATCTTTGCTAGTTAAGAAATCCTGAGATCATATCATATTTTAAAATTTTATAAACATTTGGTATTTTTATTATATTTATAATGTCAACAATAAATAATAAAGCAGTGAAAATAATAAACACAGGTATCTCTCTTTGTATTTACTAATACTTTCCCATCCTCTTGAAATTGCTTTTTCTCATAATCCTCCTTTAAAAAAACTTATTTTATTGTTACAAAACTGGTAAGTAAATAGAAGTAATAAAATTATTGAAAATCTCATTACCCACTATTTTTATTTGGTTATATATTTTTCCCTCTACCTCTCACAAACACGTACACAACTTAGATACTAAAATGTGCTGTGTATGCATAACTTAAGTAAACATAATCATTTACTTCAAAATATATTAATATTTTGAGTTCTTTATATGCCATTATGTTTTTTTAAATTTTAAATTACAGAATAGTATTCAACTATATTGATTTACCATATTTAATAAAATTTCTATTGTTAAACATTCACTTTCACAGTTTTTATTTTTATAAACAATATTGGGGTGAACACCCTTGTAGTTAGATATGCAAATTTATGATTTTTACTTTATATATATGGAATATTATTTTCTTAGACATAAATTCTTGAGCTGTTTTCAGAACAAGGAATAGTCCATAAGTTATCTTAACTCAATTTTTCTACTCCCTATCATGTCATAGGGATTATTTCCTTTTTTAAAAAAAGACTTACAATGTGAAAGTATATAATGATGATGTATCAACAATATTTAGGTTAAAATTGTAAGAGATAGGACATGCTCCTGAATATGCTTCATGGAGTTTTGGTTTTGCTTTATTTGCTTTACCATTAGTCCCAAACTCTGTCATATTAAATAAAAACAACTCTCTTCTGTGGAAACTAAGTTCTGTTCTCTTTGCTCACTGTGCGCTGTTGAATATTACTCTAGATTTTTAAAGGCTAGAAGAGAATTGAAAATCTGATTGAAATAAACATCAGCTATTTGGTTTGGAGGAAACTGGTAAAGGCAACTGTGACTCCCAGACTGAAAATAAAGTCCCATCAATCAGCAAACAAAGAAACGCCACCACCAGGGGAGACACACTCATTCAGCCACATAAGAGCGTGATATTCTCTGGACCAGAGAAGATGTTCATATTAGCATCCAAATTTTACTAATTCTAGAAAAACCAAACTAAAGCATATTTCATGCCTTTATTACCCAAACTTTGATAAAATATCCAAAAAACAGAAATGAAATTGGCCCACATTCACCACTGGCTTTCAGGTACCCTAATTTTATGTTAAAAGGTAATCCTTCATTTCATCTATCTTTTCTTAAAGGATACAAATGTTAACCTCATCAAATAATGAGAGGAACTCATACTTCTTTGAAAACATTTCCAAATGCTTCAAAACAAATTAATTACCTTGAGCCCAGAAGACCCAGGCAGCCCTTGAAGTCCAGGTTCACCTTTATTTCCCTGTCAATGCATCAAAGCCATTTGAAATTTTTTGAATTTAGTCACCATATATCTGATACAGACACTTAAGGGAATACATTTTAAACAACTTTTGCATTTTCAACTTTCCAATTGTTTGAAATATAGAATCTATATGTGAAGCCTACTTATTAAGAAAAACCCTTTTAAGCAGGGAAGTGAGTCCGCATATTTATAAAGCTTTCTACCAGCCTGTTTGATGCTGGCAGCTCGAAGTAAAAAGGGAGATTCCAATCTTTAGGGACTGGCACTAATTAGCTAGGTCTTTGTGCTGCACAAGCCAGACACATGTATCTTAATAGCATCTTCTAGGCTGGAAATCTTCATCTTTCTCTGTTTTGCTTTCTCTGTGTGACTCATTTTCAGTATGCAACTGAAAAAAGAAAATTAGCCTCAAATGCACTTTTGAGTGGCTTTTGGAAGAAGCATGAATCAGAAAACTTTTAGTTTGCGTTCTTTTTCAGGATTCCAGTGCAGTCCTTGCTAACAGACATTTGGAAAGCAAGACCAAGTTGTCAGAGCAAAGAGTGTAAGATAGGAAAAGAGGATTGGTTATAAAAGACAACCTGCCTCCTGGATCATCAGGAGAGATTGTCAGTGGTGGTTCTGGCTTTCAAATATACTTGGACACCTGAAATCACAACCCAATCAATGTCTGGCAAAAACCTATAATTAAAGAGGTTGGTGTGACACCTAGAAGTGGGGGGCGATGATCACCCAGAGCCAGGTCAGGCTCACTGATCGTAAAGGGAACCACTTTCATTCTCAGCTTAAGTTGAGAACCACGTGAGCATACTATTTGGACTTAATTAAAGCATTTAGCACATAAAAGCATGATTATACCATAGAACAATGGTTCCTTAAATTTTCTGATTTTACAAATGATTAAGCTGAAACTCAGAGGTGACAGGACTTGCCAAAAGCTACATGACCTGATTATGTTAATATACCCTGATGTCATTTAGATAATATTTTATAAAACTGGAATATGATAGGGTAAAATCGACTTATAAATGGTTCAATGGCTATTTTACAAAGAGGTATTATAATCTAAATTGGAAGTTTTCTAAAGATCTACCACAGAATTTCAGCCTCATCCCTGCCTTGCTTAACACAGCTTTTTTTGTCTTACTCTTGAACTTATATCAATTGTTACTGAAGGCATAGTTCACAAATATATTAGTTGACAAAACCAGAGGGGTAAGGTAACATAGAGGCAAGTAAACTATGGCCTGTGGGCTAAGTCAGCCCAATGCCTCTTTTTGTAAATAAACTTGTACGAAACACAGGCACATCCACACCGTGGTGGCTGCTTTTACATTTCAATAGCAGAGTTGAGTGGCTGCAACACAAATTATATGGCCCTCAAAGACTAAAACATGTCCTATCTGGCCCTTGGCAGAAAAACTTTCTAAGACCTGAGGTAATATACTGCATGAAAACAAGTTGAAATGTTTCACTGAAAAGATTACATTTAAGAGGTATAATTTTAACATCTTGAATCTATTTTTAACAAAATAATCGTAGAAGGACAAGATGAGGGAAATCAAACTTTATAGTAATTTATGTAAGAACAAACTGTGATGTTAGAATCAGCCACTTGACTCCCCAGCCACAACAGCAGACCTACCCAAGTGGTGGATGCCACAAGTACATTGTTCTAACGTCTTTTATGGAAAATCTAGCAGGTTTAGTTGACCTCCAGCTCAGTGTGAGCCAACGATGCTAAGTGGCTAATTAAAAATGCTGACAAAATCTTAGGCTGCGTTCTTAAGAATTAGAGGATCCAGAACGTCATGGGAGAGTCCATTGTACCCAGTTATTTAAGGAATATACAACTACTCTATTTTTTCTTACAACATGACCTTGCAACATGATGGAGAACCTCCACTTGGCAAGTGCACACTTACTACTGCTAGGACTCACAGTGTTCCAAGCACCCACAGGGTCCACCTCTGGTGAGAGGGCAGCTACTTTTCCCTAATCACTGGGCTCCCAATGACATTTTATCCTATCTCTTTCTAGGTACTTTAGAATTAAAAGTAGAGTAGATTAAGCCATGTACTCATTTTGTATGCCAGGATCTATTTCCCTGGTCCAGTTAAAGGTTGAATGCTTCCAAAACAGCAATTCCGTCACTTCCTTTCAGAAGGCTATCCTAGAATCTACTTATTAAGTAGTCAAGAATAGTTTCTTGCGTTGAGCCAGAAGGTACCCGGTCTGATCCTCTAATAAAAAGAAATTCTCTTACACATGACTCTGTACACCTAGAAAACGGTCGAATCATGGTACTCAGAGTGCCAGTTCTAGCTTAAGAATAACCTCACCTGACACCTAAATATATTGTCAAGCGTGCCTTACTTTTTAAATGTGAAAGTTAAGATAATGTGCCATCTTATCCACAGTCCCAAGGGAGGATAAAACTCATTACAAGGCATTTTACAAATAAAAATCCCACATACATTCCACTAAATAAAAAACCAAGAAGAGGACTTGGAAGTTGGTAAAGTTACCCTCAGTGGTCACTACAGATACTCTAGATGGTGGGCTGGGTACAGAGCCCCATAGAGCTCTGGGTATTCCTCAGTCCCCTGAGCTGCCAGTAAGGGAAGAGGGCTGAGTCATGCAGGATCTTGGAACTTTTCCAGCTTAAACCAGGCCTGCTTTACGTTAGCATGTTTTATATGCTTAGTTTTTGCCTAAGACTTCATTCCTACAAGTGCTTGTTCATAGACTTCAAACCACATTCAAAATAAAATCAATGTAGTTAAAACTTTGACTGAAGTACCTAAATGGTCATTTTGCACAAAGCCCTCAATCTTGTTAAGTTAATTTTCTTTACCTTAGATCCTGGGGCTCCAGGCTGACCTGGTGAGCCATCGCTTCCCATCAAACCCTACATTTTAAATGGAAATTGCAAGAGCAATTTAGAGAATAATATTTTTAAAATATTCAATCAGTTTTCAAGTTATACATTACCATCATAATCAATCCACTAAAATATAATGCAAGATATGGGGAACATCCCTACACACATCCAAATAAAGGATAATAAAGAATCAAACTATGCAAGGTAACATGAAGGCTGGCAAAGCCCTTGTAATTTGGTTGCTTAAATCACCTACAAATAGCAAAAATGACTGGAGAGCTAGTAAGAGACAAATGTAAAGAAAATTTTCTTTTTTCTACACTCTACTTTCTTCCTTTCTCATGATGGCCAACAATTAGATTACTTCATAGATGTTATTTTGGTCAATTTTACTTACATTTTCTATTTTCTTGAATAATGATTTTAAAGAATTAAAATCTAATAATTTCTCTGAATGTAAGAATGTCTATTCAAGTTACAAATGGCCATATTTTTAGTAACCATATAATTCAAAATAAGACACTGATAACTATTCTAGCAACAAGGAACTAATTTAATTTAGATTCCATTTAAATACTATTACATATATAAAAAACATTTGCTTTCTCTTAATCACAGCAAAGGAAATGTGATGAGCAAAAAAATATTCAATTAGTATTATCAGAAAACAGAATCTCAGTATAGTCACATTGAAAACAGCATGTCATCACTACTATGGTTTGCTATCAATTCAGGATTTATTACAACTATAAAATGTAAAATACACTAGTCATAACATAGTGTTTGAAATATTGGAAATATTAAATATAGATATTCTTGAAGTTCAATGAAGTTCTAGTCAATGCCTTCATTTTCTGGAGGCTAACTTAAATACTGGTAAATAATCAAGTTTCATTTAATAATTTGGTCTTGATGATGGAGGTAGAGGAAGAATATTCCATTCAAATCTTTCACCAAGATCTTATCAAATCTTTTCACTGGGTAAAATATCTGCTTTTTTAACTTACATAATTAAATGAAAGGTCATAAACTGTCCATTTTTTTTACTTAAAAAAAAGCTATTACAGGCAATTTGATTCATAGATTAAAATACACATTGCTTCTAACAATTTACTTTTAGAAATTTTTTATGGAGTCCTATACACCATAGGATTATCATAATTTCTAATATCATACTCATATGTCCCTTTACTCCCCAAACTTCCAAAATTACTTGTTCACTAATTTAGGATCTTCCTATACTACCTGTTCTGAATATATTCTCCCTCATTAGTGTAATAAATTTGTAAATTTTCTAAAAAATAACAAAGAATATTACTGAGTTTTAGATCTTCTCATGGTACTCAGTATTTTTTTTAGCTAGGATATTTGTTTTCTGGTATAGCTACAGTAAGCGTTCTTAATCCTTACTTGGGTAGCCAACTTTTTGAGAATCTGAAGAAATCTAGACTCCTCTAGAAAAATGAACATAATCTTTTTCATACAAATGCATGGAATTTGTGGATCCCAAAATTCTCATTGCTGAATCCTCCCACCAGTTTTGTGAATTTCAGAATAAGAACCTCTGGTACATAATGACAATATTTCAAACACCCCAGTAATAATAATGACATTAACATACAGGTATCCCCGGAGCTCCTTTTTTTCCTAGTGGTCCTGGAGGCCCAATTTCTCCCTAAAAATCAAATACAGATCAAGTTTAAAATTGCAGAGTATCAATTCATCTTTAGAAATTTCCTACAAAAGCATTATGAAATGAAAACTCAATATCAATCAGCCCAATGTGTCTGCCTTTCCTTCCTATATTGTAAGACGAAGCAATGCAAGGTAAAAAATCAGGAATCTAACATCTTAAAGACGTAGGCCTAGGGTCTGTGGAATTATTAAGGAAAATATTTTCATTAGGAAATCAGGAGCGGCACTCTTATTCTTTCAAAGGAAGACCTAGCAGTTCACACACTGTTGGTGAGGTGAAACAACAGAGGGAAAAAAAATCAAGTGAAAAAATTTCTTATTTACCATAATTTAAGAGCTATGATAGTAAGTACAGATTAAGAAAAATTAGGACACAGTTTAATAGCATTTAGACTTCAGATTTTGGGATTGTGGCTGACCTGATGCTCCAAGGGATTTTCTGATTCCAGAACAACAACCCTGGAAAGAATATCCTCTTTGAGAAGCAGGAGAAGTCTTCAAAGATCCCTCACTTTAATAAAATATACTCTCGGTTATGATTGTGATTATGAGGATTTGGAAGTGTGCAGAAACCTCGCTAGAAGTTGAGCAGCAGGAAACAAGAGGGCTGGAGGTGTCTGAGGGGACATGCTCAGCTTTTAAGAAACTGAACACTGGGCCAGCTATGGGGAGGGGGCAGGAATCTTTAGTACCTACAATGGCTCAGGACCCTCAAAGGGCACTGAAATGGTACCCGTGGTTACCAGCAGGAGGCTCTCCATGACCCAGTTAGGCTGACAGGACGCCCACTAACTAGGATGAAGCAACAAGCTCAGCATCAACAATTAAGACAGGAGAGGCAGAAAACCACAAGACTGAGAATCAAGAGGAATAACAATGAACTGCAGCTGTCAGAATGGCTAGAAAGAGAATTTAGAACTACATGTGAAATCTTTACAAATGAAAGAATGGAATCATGAAAGACTACTAGGACTGAAGATAGAACAAGAGACTAGACTATCAAGAATAAAAAGATGTTATAGCACAGGGATGTATATATATATATATATATATATATATAAATGAATCATTTTGCTGTCCCTTGAAACTAACACAACGGTGTAAATCAACTATACTTCCATAAAAAAAAGAATAAAAAGATGTTATTAAAATTTGAAATTCTAGAAATGAAAAATATGATTGTTTAGATTTTTTAAAAAATCAATTGATGGCTTAAACGGCAGATTAGACACAGTAAAGGGAGAATAAATAGACTGGAAAATATATCCAAAAAATTTAACCAGAATTTAAGAATCAAGGATATGGAAGTAAGCAATTTAGAGATGTAGAGGACAAAATTAAAAGGAATAAAATATGTCTAACTAGAATTCCAGAAAGAGGGAAGAGCAGAAGATGAAGAGAATTAGCATGGAGATTAACAGCTCATGTCTTCCAGAGATAATGGAAATAATTCTACAGAGCCAAGAAGCAAACTAAATTCCCACCCGGATGAATAAAGAGAATTCCATATCTAGATACATTGCAGTGAGTTTTAAGAACACTAAAAACAAATAAAATACCTTAAAAGAATCCCCAAAGAAGGGACAGGTCACTTACAAAAGAATGATGATTAGAACAAGAGCAGATTTTTCATAGTGAACCATGGAAGCCAGGAGATGACAGTAGAAAAATTTCAGTGTATTAAGAGGAAATAATCATCAATCTTGAATTGTATACTCTACAAAATCCTCTCTCAAAAACATACTGGTAATTGAATAAAAACTGACAGTTTATAACCAAAGTATTTGTACTAAAAGAATTTCTAAAAATACAGTTTAGTAAGTAGTACAATTTTCCCAAAAGTATGGTCTAAGAGCACAAGATAGAAAGTAACTAAGTAAAATAGAGAGCATGTATGTAAATCCAAATTCATATCTGTATAAAACAACAACAAAAACTAATTGTAAGGTCAAAATAATAGCTTCTGAAATTATATCATGTTTGAACCATTAACTGTTGCCATGAATGTGGTAAAATGTATTCTATGTGAAGAGACATCACCACTTTGCCCTTTTCATAATCAGATTCCAGGCCCAAATCTTTCAACTTTCATTAGTACTTACTTTTTGTCCCATTAATCCTTGGTTTCCAGGAAATCCTGGGATTCCCTAAAAAGAAATAAAGTAGATTTTTAATTTTAAAAATTTAGACTGTATCATTAAAGAAGAATAGGCCATAATTGGAGTTTTAACTTGTAAATAATGCAAATCATCAAACATATCTCTTGACTACATGAAACCACTACTTATATTAATCAAATTTTGGAAAAGAAAAATTTATGAGATTTATTATTATACATCTGATATTTAACATTTTAAATACCAGCTTTAAAAAAAAGAAGCTATGAAGATATTAATCTTGGCTCTTCTTTCAGACCAACATAAGTGATAAAATAAGAAGGATATTTCATTTGAACACTTTCTTATGTTACTTATAATGATTAATGCAAAAAGACTGTCAAATCATAGGAGTTCAGATTCAGTACAACAGTTCCAAAGGCCCTCATAGTCTCACCACCATAACTGAAAACTAATGAAACTAAATAATTTCCTCCAAATTGAGCCTTGAAACACCCAGGAACCTAACTCCTTGTATAAGATATGGCAATCTTTCTCCTAATGATTCCCTTGCTGATAAAATTGTGGAGCATATGCAGACCCGTTTGTAGAGAGACAGAAAGAAAGAAATAGAGAGCTCTTTCACATGGCTGAGCCCAAATGTATGAGTTCTCTAGCAAGATTCAGAGAAAATTAATGCTAATTGTCTGAATTTGAGAATAACATGAGCACATTTAATAATGGGAAAGCAGTTCTATTGTCATTCACTGCATTTTCCAAAATGATCATTTATCACCCCAAACAAACAGAGGTGGTACTAATTAATTTTTATTTCCTATTCATTTTTCTTAGCTCCTTTCTTGATGATAATTCAATTGAAATAATGAATAACATTTGTTTATGTATATATATATGTATTGACTTTGGCAGAAAAGGAAATTCAAATGACAGGGAAATTGGGCACCATCAGTATTTCTTTGAAAGCTCTCTGCATCTTCAGGGCTTTCAAAGAACAGCAGTGGTACTCAGTAAATCAGGGCAACTAGATCAAGTATCTTCAACAACAGGGAAAGTCTGCCATTGTTTTGATTTTCAAATCTTGACTATTAATACAATACTGGTCCATGTGGTAGCCACAATTACGGTGCAAGATATGGCACACAGTTCTAGTTTTAAGATCCAAACTTAAATGATAAATTGGAATTCAGTTTGATCCTATTTGGCTCAATTAGTTCTCCATGGCACTACCTCCTTTGCAGAGAAAAGTTGTATGAGAGCAAAGTCCATCAACAAGGGACTAGCATTCTGGTTGCTTTATAAACATACTAACTAGAGAATAACATAAAACGATATAAAAATTTAAAGTAACATTATAAAACATGAGCACAGAATACCCTATCAGCACTCTAAACATAAAGCGAGAGTAAATAATTGAGTTACGAGTATAAAGAAAACAGAGTGAAACGAATTGTATCCTTTCTAAGGCAGAAAATGCATACTGTCAACACAATCAAAGTCAATATTGTTCAAAATAAAGGCTTCCATTTCAATAGACCATGATTTGGCATGAAACCACCCAGAACCAACTCCCATTCAAATACACACTCATACCAACTCACCATAATGATTAAGTTCTGAATTTAAATAAAATTCAAATAAAATCTGTCTGTAGAATCTTATCAGACACAAGGTGGCCATACATGGTTCTGCAGCTGTGTCTATGCTGTGTTGCTTGGCTCCAAGAATCTCTAAAGTGATCCTGCAATTGCCCTGATACTTCTCAGACCTGAGAAGCTGAATTTCGTGCTGCACAGAACTCTTTGTTACTTAAGGTTTCAACCCTATTCAAGTTTCTATGCTCTTACACGATCTATATTAGTAGGAATTAGTTACTCCTGTTTTTGCAGCCAATCCCACTGTCAGCAAGGCTATATTCTCACTCTGGGGAAAAATAAAATTATGCCCAAGCAGTGCCCTGGCCTCACTTCCCAGGAGATCTTGAGGGCACCCCCCCACCCGGGTCACTCCCTGAATTTGATTTAACACCTTTTATCTGAATAATTCTAATTCTGAGCATGGTCTTCATTAGGACATAGCCACAAATCTTATATTATTTCAACATATCCGATATTGAGAGTATTTGGGGGGATCTCAGATTAGGAGAAAAATAGATTCCTTTTCCTACTGCCTGTGTTCATAAGTTAATAAAACATGAATAGATGTCATAGATATGAAAAAAAGTCATAATGTCTTCTAGGTCCAACTATACCAAGAACTACTAAATATTTTATAAATACCAAGCAAAAAATACATAAAACTATATAATATTAAAAAACAAAATGTAAAACTGATTTATAAAAGCAATTTTTGGCAAAACTAATATAATGCCATGAGCATGCATGGAATAAAAAACTGTTGAGAGAGAGGTTCACCAGAAGAACTGAAATCACTCAGAGCTATATTAGTTAATAAAATTCTCCTAGAAAATATTTTCCTGGGTTCCCAATACATTCATTGAAATTGACTAAACTTTGCCAATTTTACATTAGTAGAAATATTATTCAAAACCATTTGAAAGTTACCAGTTTGTTGATCCAAAAGTATTTAGCAACAGTTACTTCATAGGGTAAATGTTTTTCCAAGTAAACTATTTTATATTTATTTTCGGCCTGTGTGGTTTTGGGTTCAGGCAACTGTGAACATGTGTAAATAAAGACAGAAGCAAGAATTTCATCTGGTGAGAATAAAGGGACATATTTCCTCCATTTCTGTGATTTCAGTTTGGATTTGAGGAAGAGCAGAAAGTCAAATGGAAAATCCTGTGTAATGTTGTGGTGAAAGAATGCTGGCATGAAAAAATGTTCTAGAAGCTTCTCTGTAACCACTAAACCATTGTTGTATAACAAAAGAGTCATTAAAAACAGAAATGCATAATTTAGAATAAAGGGCTTGGCCCCTATTTCCTAGAGATCACTTTGTAATGAAGGAAATGTGTCTATGATGCATTACTTAGAAAAGACAGGATATCACTCTATACTTTTCCACATGCAATGGAATACTTTACTCCTAAAATTAAAGCATCGTGGATCAAATCTGCTGTTAAGTAATGCAATAATTTCAATGTGCTTAAAACAAATCTAATCAACTAATGGTATTTTTAAATCAAAAATTTCAACCTTTCTACACACTTGTAGAGATATTTAATATCATACAGTTGTCAAAATATTAGAAGCATATTATGTTTTCTTCTATTATATCAAGAAGTGACTTGTTCATTATTAAAGATGCAATGAATACAAAACACATATGTTGAAAGTATCATTCTTATTAGCTACAAAGATTACACTCATTATTAATAAAGAGCATAGAAGAGGCAGTTAAAAGTTTAGATGCTGGAGTCAGCTAGCCAATTATCTCGTGCTGATTGACTCCAGGCCAGTTATTTAAATTGGAATCTCAGTGTCCCCATCTTATACGTGGGGAAAAAATAACAGAACTTAGCTCTAGGGTTGTTACATTATATGAATTAGCTCTCACAAGCACTTAGCTCAGGGCTGGGACTAAAATGAACAAATTTTCATGACTTTTCACAGCTCTTCCCTGACCTTTGAAAGTTACAAAATAGATGAAGTCAATTCTTTTCCATGTCTCAAAATTTGTCCTCCTCCATTTTGAGGATATCTTTTTTTTTTTTTTTTAACATGTCTTTCCACCTTGCCTATGTCTACCTCATTCCCCAAAGTTTACACTGTATTCAAGATGACTTTGGCAATCTAAGGCTTCCCACTGGGAGGCACCAACAGGTTTTCATTGCCCCTCATTCATTATCCTTGCCTCTTCATGTTTGGCTGACTTTGATTACAGAAAAATACTACTGTGGGGTTCCAGGATCAAGATGGAAAATTGGAAAGATCCTGAGCTCACCTCCTCTCATGGACACACCAAAACCACAACTACATATGGAACAACCATCTCTGAGAACAACCTGAAGACTAGCTGGACAGACCTTCTACAACTAAGAACAAAAAGAAAAGGCCACACATTGAGAGGCAGAGAAGCAGTCTAGTTAGAACCCACATCTCCATTGTGAAGACCCACAAGCGGGAGGGGTATCACAGCTGGAGAGGTGCCCCTGGCGAGTGAGGGGTGTGAGTCCCATGTCAGGCTTCCCAGCCTGAGGCCCTGCGCTGGGAAGATGAACCCCATAATGTCTGGCTTGGAAAACCAGCGGGGTTACACTCACTCCAAATCCCAGCACAGACACAGCAGCTTAAAAAGTATATGGGCCATAGGAGAAGGAGATTCACTGACTAATTTTATGGCAGGTGCTGGAAGGACAGGGATCTGGTCAAACTTCCTCTGGGGACAGAAGCACTGACAGGCATCATTCTTTTTTACTCTCCTTCCACCTAGCTGGCCTGGGGGGGCAGGTGGGCACCACTTCTGTCATTCTCCATCAACCTAGCTAACACCATGCGTCCCAGCCCAGCATTCCCCAGAGGACCTGCCCAGGCTAGCTCCTTTAAAGCAGCTCCCACCCCATCATACCCAGCAGACTGCCCCAGCTCCCCTCCAAAGCAGCTCCTACTCCAGGGGGCCAGCCATGCACACCAGGGTGCCTGCAGCAATCACAGCCCAATCACAAGAGGGCACATGTGACCCACACAGGGGATACTCCAGGAGCACCTGGCTCTGGTGAACAGAGGGGACTGCACTGCTGGGCCCCATGGGACATCTTGTACTTAAGACCGCTCTTTCAAGACCAGGAGATGTAGCTGTTATACCTAATACATAGAAACAGACATCGAGATTTAGGCAAAATGAAGAGATGAAGGAATACCTTCCATGTGAAAGAAGAAGACATAACCTCAGAAAAAGAACTAAATGAAATGGAGATAAGCAATTTACCAAATAAAGTGTTCAAAGTAACAGTCTTAAAGCTGCTCATTGAACTCTGGAGAAGAATGGTTGAACTCAGTGACACCTTCAATAAAGAGACAGAAAATATAAGAAAGAACCAATCAGAATAGAATAATACAATAACTGAAGTG